TTGTATGGTTGTTTAAAACGAGTAAACTGTTAAAGATCCACTTTTAACCTATCCAACGGTTAAGAATTTTTGATTAAAACTACAAATTGCCGTTTTGAAAATATTTAAAAAAGAAAACAATATAAATCAACCGACTACCGCTACCGTATTAGAAATAGTTTACTGCGTATAAACAATTCTTGGGGTACCTAAATATAAAAAATGTGTTTTGTAAAGTTACCTTAGTGTACAAATAAACAATTCTGATTACACATGTTTAAATCTGTAAAACATGTAAGTTTACATATGACCTTTGATGACATTAAAACGATCCAATTATTAATGCGATTTGAAAATTGCAATACGTTCAATGGCTAATTATGAGCTATGTTATTTTATGTAATTCATTCGTCATTTTAGATGTAAAGAGAAGAAAATATTCGTTCAATTTGACAGTTAAGTATACAGTAGACTCCCTTTTATTTCCGTTTTCCGGTTAAACCGACATCCCCGACTATGTGTACGCCACGGGATACACTCAAAAACAAGCTCAAATATTTCACTTAAATTTGGGAGAATATTAATAGCATTTTTACAAGTGATCGCTGGTCTTAAATCTTTCCAACGAGAAAAGTCTTTTCAGTACTTCCTGCCGATCCAGTCCGGTTAAACCGATGTGCTGATAACGTCCAGTTATAGAGATGTCACTTCTACCAAGCGGTTAAACCGATGTCCGGATAAGAGAAAGTACGCTGTAAGTAAATACATACTGTAAATACTCTGCAATGTTATTCGGGGTATTAAAGATTAAATACTTTCACAGCAAGTAAAAACTTGGTATTCACATTTTGATTTTTCCTTTAATCTAAATCACTGTTGTTATTTCCTTTTTTTAAGTTGGAAATTTTGTGTGCGTTTAAAGGATTGTTGTGGACGTTTTTCATTATTCGGTAAACCCACGGATATTAGAACAGAAGTGGTATGTATCATTAACATAAACAAATGACGTTACTGGCCCGAAAGTGAAGATGTTCGCATTATTCCACGAATAGTTCTAATATTCGTAAAATTATTCATGGAACTGTCAATCCGTCCAAAACAGATGTTAAACGGTTATACTATTAGATTTGGGCCTGTGACGTCATTTGTATATGTTTATGATCCATACCGTGTCTGTTCTAATATCCGTGGGTAAAACATATGTTTTAGAAAATAACAGCGACAACCATTAAACAATTTGTCCTACTAACACAATAAAGAAACAAGTTTGTGTAAAACAATTTTTTGTAATAAAATGTCGTACATAATCATTATTAAATTATTGTCATTGTACACAAATTAATTATTAAAGAGATGGGTCTGTAATTTATTATTTTTATCCATACACCTAGTGAAAAATATTTGTATCGCAATATATTACACACTTACTGAAAATGAACTTTCAAAACTTATACTATAATTTATGGTAAAAATATATAGAAGACAGATGTGAATATAAACTTACCGGACAGGGGGAGCCCGAAATACCTGTACATCTGTGACGTAGGGTAGGGGGGAGGGGGAGGGTGGCGAGCGCACGCGCCCCAGTAAAGATTGGATGACTCATGCAACCCCTAAACAACCTCCTACGTCAAACTTCACGGTATTTATATCAGAGGCCATTCTTCGATCGGCCACTTTAAGAAGTCTATTACCGAACTTCTGAATTTACCTATGGATTTTTAGTTTCCGAGAAATCCAGGATGGAAATACCGATGGTATTTTCGTTCGTTGGAATTTTTTTGTATTTTGTATTGTTTGAGTTGTTTAGTGAACTTTTGTTGATTATTGGAGATTTTTTGACAAGGCTCTACTCCGGGATTGTTTTCAAATTACTTTAGGCTAGGCCTGAAGGTTGTGGCATTATCAATTTGATAAAATACTTTGGAGATTGGAGGTATTTGAACCAGGTACCTCGGGGACTGAAGTCCAGCGCTCTTACGACAAGACGAGCTCTTTCACTTTCTACACTATTTCTAAAACCTCACAGTCACCAATACACTCGGCATATATCCAATTGTCAGTAAACCTCGATAACAAGTCACCCTTGATAACCAGGGTCATTTTCAAAACCCCTTGAAATTATTTTACCCCTAAAAACATATTGCAAACATAACCTTGATAATAAGTCTTATTTTATAATCCCTATGAGAGTCTTGTTATCAATGTTCTACTGTATTTTGTGCATGGAGCAACTCTTCATAAGAGTAGTTCTATACATTGTTACAAGAGTTGTTCGGTTCTTTGGTTAGAGAGATCTATGCTACAGGACGGGCAAGTGTGCACACAGTTTAACTCATAACAAAATTAAACGACAAGTCATAAGTCCTTTATTTAGCCAAATTAACAAAAAATGCATTTGCTACGACAAAAACATAATGAATACTCAATGGAAAAAAATCAAATAGTAAGTATTTGTATGTTAGTTTATAACTAATTATATCATGTTTTATTTTTAAAAATACCATTCATATTTTGTTAAAAAGTAATAAAACATAAAACTGCGCAAAACGAAAAAAGTAAATCGGTCCCGGGCTTAGGTCTTACCATGAGACCTATGGTAATAGCTTATTCCTTATATAGGAAATTAGCCTGAATTGTACAATCCCCATTGCTGTAAATTTATTGTTTAAAAGTTATGACGAGGGTAGAAAAGAATAGAGGGGCATTGTTCACGTGGCCAAAAATCTGCTTAAGAGGTAAGAAAGAGTTTGTAGGAAAGGAAATGTATTTCTTAGGAATATTTGTATATTTATAAAGGAAAATGTTAATATAAAATACCCCCGCCGCAGCAAACCTGCAGACTAAGCGAATTTCCATTAACCTGATTGGATTTACACTAAAATGCCTAGATAAAAATAGCACATTTATTTCCTATTTAAATAGAATTAGTTTAACGAGTACTTAGGTTTGCTGCAACAGGGAGGGTAAAAAAAGATTTTTTTTATAAAATGTTAATAGTTTAGTAAGAAATAAAAGTATTTTCCAAAATCAATCAAAATATGTTCATAAACAAGCAAACTACAACAGTTGACTTATTCTCCATAAGAATAACATGGGAATTTTAAAATTACAATTTTTTTGAATTTTCTCCGTAACAATTAGGCGCACAATAACGCTTCAATATACTAAATTATTTGTTTTTTTAAGCTCTACAAAATGGTTTAAAAAGAAATTGTGAACTTTTGTGTTTTTAGGGTCAAAAATGGGAAAAACCTATTTTTACCCCATAAAACCCCCCATAAACCCCCGTTCCCATAGTCCGATCATGCTGGTTCGCGAACTCATTCAAGTTTATCCCGCCTTACACCTTCAAACCAAATTTTATCAAAATCGGACAAAAATTACTCAAGTTATCGTGCGGATGGACATATATATATATATATATATATATATATATATATATATAGATATATAAAAATTTGAACGAATGGTGTTTTTGGCCTCTGGGGGCATCAAAATGAAAAAGGAAATCGGTCCCGGGCTTAGGTCTTACCATGAGACCTACGGTAATAGCTACTTCCCTATAGGGAAATTCGCTAAAAGCTAGCTAAACTAAAATTGATACTAAGAAATAAGCAAGTGGATTTCCCCCCAACTTAGTGAAATATCCTGTTAGGAACTTATAAGTTCCGGTAATAGTTTATAAATAGTGACGCTAAAAAAAATTTTTCGTTTGCATATTGGGTCTGATGATGATCAGTGTCCAATAAAAATCATCACCACTTACCATATTATGTACTACATATATTGACTTATCAAAAAAACAGTGTAAATGTGATCCTCAAAAAGTATGGGAGCGGAAGTTTACTTTTTGAATCATTGCAATTAATGCATAGAAGCTTTGCACATAGGTGCCAGCATATCTAAATACCAGCTTTTTTAAGGAACTATACATTTTTCTATCATGCTGGGGTCTGTCCACAAGGAGTCAGAAAGATTCTTAAATGGGAACAAAGATCGAGTAGTTGAAATTAAATGTCTTTTCATCTAAACTGTCACAAACTCTGAAAAAGAATCATCCTAACAAAAACAAGTGACAGTATAAATTACGAAAAATTTTTTTTGCATTTTCGTAAACCGTAATTTATCCAAATTTTTATTATTGAAAATATAAAATGTTTTGATACAAAAATCAACATACGTCTATAATATTTTCTTTTAAGCCTACAAATTACCAAACTGTCAATCAAATCACAGTAAAACTTTGGCAAATAGCTCTATATATGACTAGAGATTTTTCTGTCATTAATAGTAATCGTATCCCATTGGGCTCTCCTACCCAGTCTTCCAAATTTTACCATATTTAGCTTATGAACATGATTTTATTAATTGATTTCCAATTGGTAAACAGTAAAAATTACGATGTTTGCAATTTGGTTTATAAAAAAGGATTTAATACATTTTAACACTATCACAAAAATTATTGAAAATATAATATCAAATAATATTTTGTACAACTATTGGAATGTTTAGTTATCATATAATGTAGCTATCAATTATATGAATACCTGAAATTCTGTAATTCGGTACTATATATTTTTGTAGCAGTTTTAAAGGATTTCTTACTTTTTATGATTTTAGTCTCATACCAACCTGCAAATCATGAGGAAAGATACTAGTTCTATTTTTAAGAATGTACTGGTTCATATAAATATGTATTTTTACATTGTTTATCATATTCCCTCCGTTGTGGCATTACAGTTGTCAGTATTATTTGTTGAAATTATTCTGAATAATAATTATTCTGAAAGACTAAAGTGCAAAAAAAGTTAAGGGAAATAAAAAATTCTGAGAATCTATTAGTAAAACAGAGATTACCTTTTGGTTGAATATATTACAGAAGGAAACTTTTCCAAACCCACAGTCATGCATGCACATTGACCCTGTAAGAATTGATAAGATCTTGTTGAGATAAGATAATTATGGTTCAGGACTCAGTAGTAAGGTGGTCATTGGTTAGGATGAATCATGTAAAGGTTGGACCAAACTAGTGTAGATTAGATTTTCATATTGTTTCACTGAATAAAAAAGAAATACACATACAAGTTTAAGGAAGTATTTAAGAAGGCTGCTCACATCCACCTTATAGCTGAGATGGTAAGTTTTATTTTCTCACTAAGCAATAGGATGATTGAAAAGTTGTCTAAAACGGGTATAGCCATTGACTATATACCGTTATGGTATAGTCAATGGTATGACTAAGAATTATGCAAGTATCAATCTCAAAATATCCTTGCCACAGCAAACCTGCAGACTAAGCAAATTGCCATCTTCATTGAATGTTCACTAAAATATTTCCTCAAAAATTACCTTTGGATTGCTGCTACGGAGAAGGTAATAAAGTGTGTTTTTAGTTTGTCAATAGCTTATCATAAGGAAAAAATTTGCCAAGTTTGATCAAAATATATCCATAAACAAGCAAACACCGTTTTAGGGGATTTGTTAATTTATCAAACAAGATTAAAAGTACAATTTTTACCATTTTAATGTCCATGTATCTTATGTTTATACCCAGTGTAACGACGACCCTATTATGACATTTTTTTGCTTGGGTGCGGGTGTGGGGGGTCGGTGGTTCAATCTTTATATATATACAGGATTTTTGTATATGCAATTCAAACTAAAAGTATTATACTAGTCCGGTAATTAAAGAGAAATATATAGCGGAGGTTCAACAAATTTGATTCAAAAGGGTTTTCAACGGATTTCATTAGTTTTATACCTCCACACAACACAAAAAAAAGTCTACCAAAATCTGACTTGGGGAAGTACCTGAATTATGGTATTTAAATTAAAATAATAATTGCTCCGTGAAAAAAAACAGATAAAAATATTATTGCTATGTATAGGGTGTAGGATATCGTTTTTAATGTTTTGAAGGGTGGGGAAACTAAATATGCAACTTAAAATGTGATTTGACGTAATTTGACACCACAAAACGGCCGCTAAAATAGATTCATGGGGGAAAAACTAAAATAAAACTTAATTTTAGATATAGGGTGTAGTATATCGAATTAAATGTTTACAAGGGTGGCAAAACCAAAAATGCAACTTAAAATATGATTGTATAAAATGTAAGGTCATAAGATGGAAATCACCAAAATACGCTCCATGGAGGGAAAAGTTAAAAAAAACTTACCTTTAGAAATATGTTGTAGTAAGGCGATTTTAACTTTTACAAATGCCAGTAAACTAAATATGCAACTTCAAATAAGATTTTACATCATGAGACGGTGGCGTAAGATGTGATACCGGGGCACATGGATTATTTGTACATAGGGAATAATAATGGTATTTTAAAATATTAATAAATCACATTCAATGAACACGCGTTTGAAAAGGGAAAAGGGTACTTGGTCCTAACCTTAGACGCTCCTACTCTTCATACACGCTCTTTGCGGATGAAATACCAAAAGGAGACGCTATGGAATAGGAAAACTATCCTTTATGAACAAATACCATGCTCTCTAGGAATTCACTGAATTGACATGTGGCCAGTGTAAAGGGGTCACATGCACAAATGGGCAAACGATTTGAGTGAAAATATTGAAGTAACAGAGTAATTTATTTCAGAGTAACAATTTCTAAAAAGGTGACAAATGATAGATGTGTGGGACTATTTTTGAACACTTCAGTCAATTTTAACAGTATTTTATTAGCAGTATGAATTGTCGGCTGTATTTATATTAAAAAGTGTGTTCATTGATATTGAATTATTTCTACACTATTATACCATTATTTTAATATAGTATCCTCTGTAAAAATAATCCATGTGCCCCGGTACCCCGTCTTACCGTCTAATAATGTAAAATATCATTTTAAGTTGCATATTAGTTTACTGGTATTTTATAAAAGTTAAGATTGAAAACTAAAACCTAGTTCTAAAGATAGGCTATTTCTAAAGACGTTTCTTTTATTTACTTTCCGTAAATTTAATATAACGTACAATGATGATCAAGAAGTTATTTATTTCTAAAGGTAAGTTTTTCAACTTTCCTCCATGGGGCGTATTTTGGTGACTTCCATCTTATGCTTTTAAATTAGATACAATCATATTTTAAGTTGTATATTTGGTTTTGCCACCCTTGTGAACATTGAATTTGATATACTGCACCCTATATCTAAATGTGAGTTTTATTTTAGTTTTTCCTCCTTGGAAATTTTTTTGGTGGCCATTTTGTGGTGTCAAATGACGTCAAATCACATTTTAAGTTGCATATTTAGTTTCCCCACCCTTTAAAACATTAAAAACGATATACTACACCCTATATATAGCAATAATATTTTTATCTGTTTTTTTTTTTCACGGAGCAATTATTATTTTAATTTAAATACCACAATTCAGGTACTTCCCCAAGTCAGATTTTGGTAGACTTTTTTTGTGTTGTGTGGAGGTATTAAACTAATGAAATCCGTTGAAAAACCTTTTAAATCAATTTTGTTGAACCTCCACTACTCAATGACTGGACTATACCTGTTTTCTTAACTTCATTGCCAATCAGCTGATGTCATAGCCTCAATACAAGGCAGCAATGAGACAAAAGTGACAATGCCATGGACCGGGCATAATGAAACATCTGTTGTACTAATTTCAATGGAGTGTAATGAAATGAAAATCCTTCTTTATTGAGGCGAACTTAGGACCTCACGGTCCTTTCTTGCAGTTAACCTCTAAAAAACTAACAATACTGATAAACATTAACAAAATAAAACAATAATGATTGAAATAAACAAATAGGTGTAACAACATTACATAAATGTAATCCCGCCACGCCACGGCCATCCGGTTAAGGTAATATTCTTTCAACGCCACCGTCAGTCGGGATCGGCTTTCTAAGGATTTAATGGGATAAGGTACAGAGTTCCAAAGGCGGCATGCAGTTACTACAAAAGATTTGTTATAAAGAGTCGTCCTGTGATGAGGAATACGCAGCATGGACGAGCCAGAGCGAGTATTCCCTGCGCCTCTTTCACGCAAAAATTTAAACTTGTTGGCTAGATAATTTGGAGTTCCAAGATTAATGGCTGAATGAGTAATTGAAAGTATTCGGATTTTTCTGATGTCATCTAATTTCAAAATTGATTCATTTATATAATATGGTGTGACATGATCGTCACGTCTAAGATTGAACAAAAATCTAATGCAGTAATTTTGAACACGTTGTAATTTTGTTGCCAAAGCCACAGTCATGTCATTAATCACCGTGTTGCAATAGTTGAAGTGTGGAAATACGAGTGATTTGACCAGTAAGAGTTTAATATGAAACGGTAGGAGTCGTTGCATCTTTTTCAGTGTGTGAATGGCGGCAAATACTCTTTTACAAGTATTTACCACCGCGTCAGTCCAGTCTAATGTACGGTTTAATGTCAAACCAAGACTTTTTACTTTGTCTTGATATGTCAAAGTGGTTCCGTTCACAGTAAGTTTTGGTAAATTGTCTACATCAAGTGTGCTAAGTAACCGTGGGTGACCTATGATGATTGGCTTTGTTTTGTCAGGATTGAGTCTTCAGAGTCTTAGTCCATTATTTGCTGCCCAGTGAGCAATGTTGTTGATGTCTTGATTCATTAAGTTTATAGTCTCATTCGTATGACTGACTTTAAAATGAGAGTAGATTTGCAAGTCGTCAGCATAAGAATGAAACTTTACGTGGTGTAGAACTGTAGTTATGTCATTTATGTATATTGTGAAAAGCAGTGGACCAAGAATTGAGCCCTGAGGAACTCCACATGGAACATGTTTCCAGTCGGACGTCAAGTTGTCATGACACACACACTGCTTTCGGCCCTGAAGATATGATCTCATCCATTTTAATGAATTGTCAGAGACTCCTATAAGCTGGAGTTTGGTTAGAAGAATGTTATGGTTTACTGTGTCGAAAGATTTACTGAAGTCAAATAATGTCAAAATGGTACATTGGCTACGATCCATAGCCGATCGTATATCATCAGTGATATGAAGCATTGCTGTTTCTGTGCTAAAATATTTACGGAAACCTGACTGAAATATATTAAGAATATTGTTTTGTGACAGAAAGTCAGACACTTGGGAGTGGACAACTCTTTCTAGGGCTTTAGAGAGAGCAGGAAGAATGCTTATTGGTCTGTAGTCTTGCAGAAGCGATGGGGATGAGATCTTATTCAAGGGACGGACAAGCGCAGACTTCCAATTTTCTGGGAAAATGCCTAATCTCAGTGAGGTGTTGAATATGAAAGTTATTGTTGGGAGGAGAGCAAACAAGATACGTTTAATTAAGGAAATTGGGATTCTATCAGAACCAGTGGCATCAGACGTTATCCGTCTTATAGCCTTCAAAACATCAACCTGCAATACTGATGGCTTAAAGTTAAATTGGGGAATAGTATTAGGCAATTGACGTAATTTTAACTCAGTTAAATGGTTCTGAACTATTTGACTGTTTTCATGTGATGAGACTGATACGAAATAATTGTTCAAATCATTTAAAGGCATTGATAATGGGACAGAGTCAACTTGCTTTCCAAATTCAAGACGTTTTAGATTTTGCCAGCGAACTGCAGATGATTGCTTTCCTTCAGAAAACAACCTATGAAAATATTGGAGTCGAGAATTGCGTAAACGTTGTTTTACTTGATTTCTAAGCTGGCGATATTGGGCCATAAGCCCCTGGTCCCTATGGCCCAATATCGCCAGCTTAGAAATCAAGTAAAACAACATTTACGCATTGCTCGACTCCAATTTTTTAATAGATTGTTTTCTGAAGGAAAGCAATCATCTGCAGTTCGCTGGCGAAATCTAAAACGTGTATGGGCAATGTTTGCGTTTACAAGTTTGCTATTCCAGTTATTACCATGGCAACAGGCATTCTGGTGCGACATTGGGGACATTGCCACACACCAACGCCTCGACCTTGTATTAAAAGGAGACTATGCTGATATGCACCGTTGCATAGTTGTCTATGGTGGTTAGTGTTTTTGGGAATTTATTGTAAATAAAACTCGGCATGGTGTTACTCGACATGGTGTTATCGCTATCTCAAAAAGAGTATAAATTGAGTACCGGTAGGTCTATTTTTTTGTTTATAAATAGATTTTTTGTATCTTTATAAGATTTGAGCGGAAAAAGAAATGACATTATCGTCTTCTGCAGTGGCGTAAAAATCTTGAATATCTCACATGGTCACAGAAACATTACTATCGTCTTCCACTATCACAGCAAAATCCTTAACACGATGCGACGCCGCGGTCATTGCCACAGACCGAGGTATACATTTCAATCTTACACATAGACCGGCTGTTACTTGGATAACAGTACACACAAACCACGGGCGAAAAACCTGTAAAACAGTGATCATTTACATTGTAATACGCTACAATAGTGTTTGTAAATAAATTGTTCTTGTTTTTTTGTATTTTTTATAACCTTTTGTAATGTCGCATATTTGCGACGCCCGGTCTACAGCGAAAACAATAGTGAAAATTATCATAGTTTTCTTAAAATAGACTAAACGTCGCATATATGCGACGGCTCATTTTTTTGTGTTTTAAGGTGAAAGTAAGTAAAAAAATAAACAGATTATTCAAGAACAGTTTATAACTGAACAAATATAAAAGCTACATAGGATAATGCAGCATACATACTGCATACATACATACAGTGATGCAGAAAAGTAAAGACCAGTTTTTCCTACTATTATATGACGACACCAATCATCATATCCACAGACCAAGCGACGCAGTTGTGCGTCAGACATCTCTGTAGACCACTGCAGGGAATTCAGTGCCTTCAAATAGACCACTACAAAGATATAAGCATTTTAATAACATTAGAACCCCGACGCAAATATGCGTCGGCACTCGGCAGTCTATTTTAATGTGACTAGCATATGCGACGGCAGTCTATGGGTAGAAACCAGCCGTCGCATATGTGCGTCGCTGGTCCATGTGAATGGAAAATTTCGTACTATTGCAGTAGCGAACGTGTTAATGACTCCTGCAGATTTGATTGTAAAATATTGGTCAAGTTCCTTCAGGTGTATCACTAAAGAGCCTCTCTGGTGTAACCACTGTGAGCCACATTGATTCTTAACACAGCCCCATTATAGCGCCTCCATGCAGGCCACGAGGAGACTTGATGCAACCCGCATGACTCCTGACAACTCTTTTACTTAGGTTAAAAGAAAATTTCTATCAACCGGCCAGGTAGCCAGTTTAGCAGTTGTTAACTACTTGTCCTAGTGTTCGAGCTGGTTTTAACAAAGTTTTGTAATAAAAAATGTATGGCAAAAATGTATTGGCCGGTAGCAGATCTGGGTCCCGGTAAAATTTCCCAAAAAATCCCAGTCAAGGCTTGCCCCCCTCCTGGCACCGCAGGCCCACAATCGCAACGAATGACCCCCTTCGCAGCAAACCTGCAAGCTAAACAATTTCAATTTGTCTGATTAGATTTTTAATCTTTTTTTTAAAGCCTGGGTCATATTTATTTCCTATTTAAATAACATTTGTATAATAAATAACAAGGGAATTTTAAATTTACAGATTATTTGAAATTTTTCCATAATCTTTAATTGTACAACAATGCTTCAATATAATTTTGTAACTGTTTGTAAGTTCTACACAAAAATTTGGCATTTTCATTTAAGAGTAAAATTTGAAAACTCCCTTAATATTTTGTTCTGTTTACTCAATCTTGCTGGTTCAAAAGCTCAATAAAGTTAATCTAGTTAAAGCTACAGTATATACTGTATTATTATTATATACACAATATTGTGTTTATGTACACACACATACAGGGTGTTTCAGTAAAGCGTAGCAGGCACAGATATTCATTTTAAAGCAGTTGGAAATTCAACTAATCCACATTTACCTCTTATTTGTTCACAGTGTTGAATTTGAAATTTAATATCTGATAATATGATTTTGTCACTAGTTTATATGGAATTAAACTTTGTGATTTTAAAATGACCACCATTTTGGTAATTACCAATAAAACTTGCATAAGGTTTTTATTTATTATAAGGTTTTTGCAAATAAAGTGTCATTCAATTTGTAATAAAAAGGACTTTAAATAATGTGTTGCGAAATTGTGTTTTATAATCTGGTTTTCATGAAATTTGACTTTAATGATTTTAAATGGCCGCCATTTTGAAATTCGGTGAGCCTGATCAAAGATATTTTCAGAGATTGGTTATAGCTGTACATTTAAAATCATAAGAAGTTTCATAAAAATATCTTTAAGGACTTTTGAGTTATAAATTATTTAAAAATACAAAATGGCAAATTACGGCTGAGCTAAGCCGACATAAAAAATAATTTACATTTTTGACTTATTTTTGAATGTAGAATCTGAATCTGCATCGCCCACTACGCTTTACTGAAACACCCTGTATAAACAGTAGCCTATATTGAGAATGTATATACAGGGAAATGTTAGGATAGCGGATGTTTAAAATACAGCTCTATTGAAAGAGAGGCTGAGGATGATTCTGACAGCTATCTTTTGAAGGTGGAAGAGGAAGTGAGTTCCTGTGCTTTCACTACCCCATAGTGCACCCGAAATGTGTGTAAAAAGGAGAATAGGTGTTCTCATTATATTGTGTATACAAATTTGAACAAATTGTGTTTTTTGCCTTTAGGTAGGCCTACATCTCAATAAAAAGGTAAATCAAACCCAGTAGTAGGTATTTCCATGCTACCTAAAGGTAATAGCTTCTTCCCTATAAGGAAATTTGGTAACAATGATTGTATGCTATTCAACATGAAATGCTGCTAAAAGTGACTTACTTGTGCATTTATATTTTTGCAGGAGGAGTCACAGGATCGATATAAACAGTTAGCGCTTGGGGTACAAACAATTCTTGAATGTCCAGTGTGCTTTGGGAAGATGGATTCTACATTAAGACAATGCATTAACGGACATGGAGTATGCAGACCATGTGCTTCAAAGATTGACAAATGTCCAACTTGTAGGGAGGACTTCTCCCTGGCACTTCAACAGAACACTTTGTTGAATCAATTACTAGATTTGATTCCTAAGCTTTGCCCCTATGCTGAGAAAGGTTGTGACTCAGTGATCATAGGTCAGGAGCATCAGACTTACTGTGAATATCGACCAACTGAGTGTAAAGTTTTGTTGTGTAAGTGGAATGGGCGTGTCAAAGACTTACTTGAACACTTAAAATGTAGTCATGAGACTAGGATTATTAATGTTAATTTAAATGTAAAATATTTAAAAGCATACGTATTAAATTGTTTCATGACAAAGGAAACTTATTATTCGCCAATTATATGCCAAAATCAAATTTTTTGGAAGTGCATTTATTTAAAAGGTCATATAAATCATACCTACCATCGATTATATTCTGTTCCAACAATTAAGAAATCTTGTGATTACTACATGGTAATATCATTTGAAAGAGGTGATTTAAAATTTGAGCATTATTGCAAAGCGGCAAACTTAGATGATCAAATTGAACCTGAAAATGAAAGTGGTCTTATCATTCCTGTTTGTGAGTTGAACAAATTTTTGGAGGAAGGAACACAAGATTCCTACTATTACAACCTGAAATTGGTGAAAGAAAACATTTCATAGATTCAGGTGTCATGACAAAGCAAAATGTATAATTAAGGATGATAAAGATAATTAAAAAAAATGTTGTTTGACATCACAAGATAAAGTAAATGAATCCAGTACAACAATGGAAACACACTCTAACTTGGCTCCTTGTTTAGTCCAATCAAAGTGTAGTCAAAGACTGCATGCATCGTTGTAATAAAATGTTTCAATATTCTATATGTTTTATTCTTTTGTTTCATCCAACTCAAAACTTGTCTATCACGTTTTAGCAAATTTTCCCCATTCCCCATAGGGGGAAACACATCTAAAACATATCAAGGTCTTGAAATATCATGTAAGGAACAGATAAAAATATCAAAACTTATTTCATTAGAAATTGTTTATTTTTTAACGCAGAGAAAACTAGCAAAATGTTTATTTCAAAGGCACAGAGCAAAGGAAAACTACCATAAGTAAAGGGTGGTCCACGGGAAACGGATGGGTTTAAAAGCTATTGCTCTTAAAGTTTTAAACATAAAAAAGTTTTATTGACAAAGAAATTAAGGAAAAGTTATGTACTTCCAATCACAGTAAAACGTTGGCAAATGTAACTCTAATTATGAAAGGAGATGTTTCTGCCATTATTAGTACTGTAATCTTAAATTCCAATCTACCCAGGCTTCCAAAATTCACCATATTTAGCTTATGAACATTATTTTATTAATTGGTTACCAAATAATTTGAATGATTAATAATTATTAATTATTCAAATAATTAATTGGTAGCAGTAAAAGTTACATTGTTTGCAATTTGCTTTATAAAATAGAATTTAATACATTTTAACACTATTACAAAAATTATTGAAAATATAATACTATAATAATATTTTGTACAACAATTGGAAAGTTTAGTTATCATGTAATGTAGCTATCAATTATATAAATACCAGAAATTCTGTAATCACTGGCAATATGGTACTATCTATTTTTGTAGCAGTTTAAAGGATATTTCTTACTGTTAAGATTTTAGTCACATATTACCAACCTGCAAAGCATCATGAGGAAAGATACTCTATAGTTCTATTATAAAAGAATGTCCTGATTCATATAAAAATGTATTTTTACATTGTTTATCATATTCCCTACGTTGTGGCATTACGATTGTCAGTCTTATTTCTTGAAATTATGCTGAATAATAATTATTCTGAAAGACTAAAGTGAAAAAAATTAAGGGAAATAAAAAATTCTGAGAATCTATTAGTAAAACAGAGATGCCTTTCGGTTGAATATATTACAGAAGGAAACTTTTCCAAACCCACTATCATGCATGCACATTGACCCTGTAAGAATTGATAAGATCTTGTTGAGATAAGATATTTATGGTTCAGGACTCAGTAGTGAGGTGGTCATTGGTTAGGATGAATCATGTAAAGGTTATCATGTAAGATTATAACAAACTTGTGTAGATTAGATTTTCACATTGTTTCACTGGTTTAATAAAATACACATTCTTAATTTTAAGGAAGTATTTAAGAAGGCTGCTCACATCCACCTTATAGCTGAGATGGTAAGTTTTATTTTCTCATTAAGCAATAGGATTATTATGGTATAGTCAATAGTATGACTAAGAATTATGCAAGTATCAATCTCAAAATATCCTTGCCACAGCAAACCTGCAGACTAAGCAAATTGCCATCTTCATCGAATTTTCACTAAAATATTTCCTTAAAAATTACCTTAGGATTGCTGCTATGGAGAAGGTAATAAAGTGTGTTTTTAGTTTGTCAATAGCTTATCATAAGGAAAAAGTTTGCCAAGTTTGATCAAAATATATCCATAAACAAGCAAACTTTCTGTTACCAATAACCGTTCTTTTAAAAACACTTCAAGAGTATTAAATGATTTGGTTTTTTTAGCTAGGTATACAAAATGATTTGGAGAGAAACTTTGAGTTTCTATATTTTGAGGGCCAAAAAGGAGATAAACCAATATCCACCCCTCTAACACCGTTTTAGGGGATTTGTTCATTTATCAAACACGATTAGAAGTACCATTTTAATGTCCATGTTTCTTGTGTTCATACTTGTGTTAACAACGACCCTATTATGACATTTTTTTGCTTGGGTGCGGGTGTGGGGGGTCGGTGGTTCAATCTTTATATATTATATATATACAGGACTTTTGTATTAGTGGAAGAATATTAGGAAAATCGACCTAACAAATTCGAACTACCTAGAAATTTTGCACAGCTGTTAAGTAAGCCATGTTCTTGAAAATGTCAAAAGTCCCCGGAAATCCCTGCTGTGCTTCAGCCGCCATCTTGGAAAATGGCGGCCAATTTTCACTTTTTTGACAATATTTCCCAAACTATTGGTATTAGAGAATTTTTGTAAATACAAAAGTTAAAGAACACCTAAAAATACACATTTTTTACTTTACAAGGTTTGCTCTATCTCTAAAGGCTATTGATATAAATAATAAAAATAGTTTTAAATTTAAAATTCCCATGTTATTCTTATGAAGGAAAAGAAAATTGTTGCAGTTTGTTTATTTATGGATATACTTTTATCAAACTTGGCAAACTTATTTATTTTATACTAAGCTAATGATATTTAACATAATTACACACTTTATAACCCTTCCAATAGCAGTAAACCTAGTACTTGTTAAATTTAAAGTTATTTAAATAGGGATTCTATCTTTAATTTTTAGGTATTATTTTAATAAAAATCCAGGCAGGCAAATGGAAATTCATTTTTAGACACGATTATAATTTCTCCTTATTAGTATTAAAGAGAAATGGAAAATGGTGGCCGATTTTTTTTAATGACTCCTTAATTGTCAACATTATCAAAAATTTCCAAGAGCTAAATAATGAAATTGAACAAGAATACGTTATGAGGAGGCATATAACATTTAATCAAAATATTAAAATGTTTATTTTTCTTACTGTTTGTCAAGTAAATAAAATGTAAATAGATCAATTGTTCAGTTTTCAGTAGCAAATATTATTTAGCTCTTGGTAATTTTTGATAATGTTGACAATTAAGCATTCATTTTAAAAAATCGGCCGCCATTTTCCATTTCTCTTTAATACTAATAAGGAAAAATTAACAATCGTGTCTAAAAATGAATTTCCATTTGCCTGCCTGGATTTTTATTAAAATAATACCTAAAAATGAAAGATAGAATCCCTATTTAAATAACTTTAAATTTAACAAGTACTAGGTTTACTGCTATTGGAAGGGTTATAAAGTGTGTAATTATGTTAAATATCATTAGCTTAGTATAAAATAAATAAGTTTGCCAAGTTTGATAAAAATATATCCATAAATAAGCAAACTGCAACAATTTTCTTTTCCTTCATAAGAATAACATGGGAATTTTAAATTTAAAACTATTTTTATTATTTATATCAATAGCCATTAGAGATAGAGCAAACCTTGTAATATAAAAAATGTGTATTTTTAGGTGTTCTTTAACTTTTGTATTTACAAAAATTCTCTAATACCAATAGTTTGGGAAATATTGTCAAAAAAGTGAAAATTGGCCGCCATTTTCCAAGATGGCAGCTGAAGCACAGCAGGGATTTCCGGGGACTTTTGACATTTTCAAGAACATGGCTTACTTAACAGCTGTGCAAAATTTCTAGGTAGTTCGAATTTGTTAGGTCGAATGGCATTTGAATCCCTAAAATTCCTGGGCTATATATGTAATTCAAACTAAAAGTATTATCCATATTTTCTTTACTTCATTGCCAATCAGCTGATATCATAGCCTCCTCTAATACAAGGCAGCAATGAGACAAAAGTGACAATGCCACAGACCGGGCATACTGAAACATCTGTTGTACTAATTTATAATGGAGTGTATGAGCAATGTTTGTGTTTACAAGCTTGTTATTCCAGTTATTAGTTTTTACCATGGAAACAGGCATTCTGGTGCGACATTGGGGACATTGCCACACATTAACACCTCGGCCTTGTAGGAGGAGGAGACTATGCTGATATGCACCGTTGCATAGTTATCTATGGTGGTTAGTGTTATTGGGAATTTATTATAAATAAAACTCGACATGGTGTTATCGCTAGCTCAAATAGAGTATAAATTGAGTACCGGTAGGTCTATGTTTTTGTTGATAAATAGATTTTTTTATCTTTATAAGATTTGAGCGAAAAAAGAAATTACATTATCGTCTTCTGCAGTGGCGTCAAAATCTTGAATATCTCACTTGGTCACAGAAATATTAGTATGGTCTTCCACTATCACAGCCAAAGCCTTAATGACCCCTTCAGATTTGATTGTAAAAAATTGGTCAAGTTCCTTCAGGTGTATCAGTAAAGAGCCTCTCTGGTGTAACCACTGTGGGACACATTAATTCTAAACACAGCCCCATTATAGCGCCTCCATGCAGGCCACGAGGAGAGTTGATGCAACCCGCATGACTGCCGACAACTCTTTTACTTAGGTTAAAAGAAAATTTCTATCAACCGGTCAAATAGCCAGTTTAGCAGTTGTTAACTACTTGTCCTAGTGTTCTAGCTGGTTTTAACAAAGTTTTCATACAAAATGTATGGTTGGGCCGGTTGCGGGTCTGGGTCCCGGTAAGATTTCCCGAAAAATCCCAGTCAAGGCTCGCGCCCCACTGCACCGCGGGCCCGCTATCGCCACCACTGACCCCCTTCGCAGCAAACCTGCAAACTAAACAATTTCAATTTGCCTGATTAGATTTTTAATCTTTTTAGCGAATTTCCCATATAGGGAATAAGCTATTACCGTAGTACTCATGGTAAGACCTGGACCCGGGACCGATTTTTGTTTTGTTTTGAGGTCCTTAGAGGCCAAAAACACCATCCGTTCAAATTCATATATATATATGTGACCGTTAGCGCGATAACTCGAGCAAAAATGATCCGATTTTGATGAAATTTGGTACAAACGTGTAAACCTACGTTTATTCGAACGAGTTTGCGAACCAGCATGACCGGACCATGGGGGTTTATGGGGGCTTTTACGGGGTAAAAATGGGTTTTTCTCATTTTTGACCCAAAAAACATAAAATTTTGCAATTTCTTTCCAAACAATTTGGTAGAGCTTAAAAAAACAAATAATTTAGTATATTGAAGCGTTATAATGTGTATAATGTGCCTAATGGTTACCGAGAAAATTCCAAAAAATTGTAAATTTAAAATTCTCATGTTATTATAATGGAGAATAAGTAAACTGTTGTAGTTTG